AACCTTAAAACCCTAAACCTTAAACTTTTAAACCCTAAACCCTTAAACCCTAAACCCCTCAACCCTGAACCTTAAACCCTAAACCCTTAAACCCTAAACCCCAAGCCCCAAACCCTAAACCTGGCCACATTGGAGGAGACGAGACTTGGAGGACTTAGATTCTATTTTTGGGGCCACGGCCTTCGGCCACGGCCTTCGGGGTACAGGGAACTCTAGTAGGGCCTTTGGACTTTAGGGTGTAGGGTTTGGGACGTTAGGACTTTACGGTGTAGGGTTTAGGGTTTAGGACTGTAGGGTGTAGGGTTTAGGGCTTTAGGACTTTAGGGTGTAGGAGAATCAATCTAGGATCACCGGCTGAAGAGATTTGGAACTGTGCCTTCTCAAGGGGTTTTCATGGATCAGGCTGGGAGTTTAATGTTTCGGCCTTAATAATTAGAATAGGGTTTTGTGGCCCAGTACACTATATTTATACTAAAGAACCCCCCAAACAGCGTAGGTATTTTTTAAAGGCCCCTGTATTATCGTATCTTCTTTCCCAGGTGACCTCACAAGACCACGAGAGGACTCTACATTGAGCACTGCCCTCATACAGTAACAGTCTATACTAAAGTTAATATTAGGGGCCTTATAACTCTTAACCCCTAAACCATAAGTATTAATTCAACTGGTGCTGAGTGGGGGCAGTATTCAAACTCTACATGGGATGATCCCTGGACCGACCTGCTCGTGGCGAGGAGGTTCGCCATACATACTATATCTATGTATGCATATATATATATATATACACATACATACGTACATATATATATATATATATATCTATGCATAATACGTCAATTCCCCCCTTGGTGTTTGTACTGCAACAAACACCTCACCCTAATCCTACACCCGTCTACACCCCAAGGGCTGCAGCCTGTGAAGACAATGGAAAGGGACCACCATACGACATCATGTAATAATTTAACATAGTGTAATATGACAAGATATGACAAGCTGCATGTTGTAAAAGACAATGTAGTATGGTAAAGTATAAGGCGATATTGGGGATAATCCTCTGCTTCCTCTTCCTCATCATCATCTATCTTCACATCGCGACATTGCAACATACAGTACCACCACGAGGAAACCGTCAAACAAACGGGTCTTTGTCGCTGAAACCTATCAGCCATGATTCCTCTGCCCTGAAACCTTCCCCCTCAACCCCCTCCCCCCAAACAAAAAGGACCAGAGAGCCTTCAACCCGAAAGCATCCTGTCCGAGACCCATAAGGGGCCGTAATAATGAGAATAGGGTTTTGGGGCCCATTATATACAATCATTATAAGACGGACCCCCCAAAACAGTATTGGTAATTATTTAGGCCCCTACAGCACTTAGGGTTTATGGTATACTTGAACTTAACAAAGCCTCGAGTGCTCAAGACCCTGAGCCCCGGGACGCAGGTGGCGGAGGCGTTGACTGCAGCGCCTCGCCACGCCGCCTGGGCTTCTGAATGATCACGGAGGCTGGTCTAGTTTATCTCGTAAGGGTTCTTCAGGTGTGGAATCTATGTGTTATAGAGCTGTTAGAACTTGCTTGACTGGGTTGTCGAGCGTAAGGAGTTGCTTTTGCTGTTTGCTCGAGGGTGCCGGGTTTTGGACGGCAAAGAGGCTTGAAGGATTAAAGATTTCGCAAGACCGCAAGAAATTGGCGGATGAGAACTTGATCTGCGGTGTTATTCATCCAATCCACGCTGCCGGAGCTACAACCGAAAAACGACGACTACACGAGATTCGGACAGTCGCGTAAGCCAACTATCGAACCCAATCTGGTGCAGGATGCTATCTCGACTGAAAGCAATGAAGGGGATGCAACCATACCTTTTGGAAAGTACCTCTCAACACCGGCATGATGTTGATGATGCAGGTTTGCGACCCAGGTCGCGAAGAAGGCCCCGCCAATTGTCCCAGACCTCAGTTCTATGCCGGCGGCCTGGCGAGGAGCCGTTTCATGTCCAGTTGCCGGCGGAGAAGATGTTTCGAGGTCCTGTTGCAGTCCACAGGCCCGGTCTCCCGGTGTGGTGTCAGGGGCAGAAAAAGCGGGCAAGCACAGGGCAAACGTGAAGGTAGACAGTAAGTCTACGCAGCAGCCAAGGAGTCCCCGACATTTGTTGCCAAGTAAGGAGGGAATCAGAAAGATGGGGCGTTGTTGTGAACTCAGCATGTTGTTATGGCCAGGGCAGCCCTTCATCGATGCCAGGGATGACAGCAACTAACTGGTTGTACAAAGTTGTACAAGTAGAGAACCGTTTAACCCACTCGCCGCGACCGTCATCACGGCACCTGATCTGATGAATAACTGAGGCCACAACTTTGCCTCGGGCATGCAGGCTTCCCGTGGCATCCAGTTTTGAGAGCGCACTCCTTGTGGTCGCTGCAAGGAGATATGTGCATGAGGCTTTCCAGCCTTTGGAAGTACAGGATGTTTTCGAAAGTGCGCCTTGCCAGTTTGCACGGAGGACATCTGTGTTTCACTGGGGCCAATTGAATGTCCTTGCGTTATAAGCTTGTTCTGCAACTTCGGCCTTGCGTGGTGTCCAAGCCCGGCAGTGAAAGCACAAATCGGTGCATATGTCGGGCATGTTCGATGACCTTATGTCGCACTTAGATTACCGAAAGTTGCTTGGGCACTTGGAAGATTCCTCTGCTTGCAGAAGAAATGCACAGCATGATCTGAAAATGGGGCTCCAATACATGTTCATCTAGACTACCGTGGCCGGCGGTCCCATGGGGTGACTTGAACACGTCTGGGATCAGCCAGAAAAGCCTCATGGAATTTAGTGGACGGACACTTTGCACGAAGGTTTGGATCCGGTGTATTGCCTTTTCAGTATCGAACCCATGCCCGCAGTTCCCTGTGTCTAAAGCGCAAACTTCCCTGCGACACTGATTCAACTCTACCCTCAATTCGCCAGCCAGCCCGGCTTCTTCATTTACTGTCCATCCAGCATGTCGGAAGAAGATCTTGAAGCGTGCAATTTCTCAGAAGGTCCTGGGTATGAGAGAATGTTGGTCTGCGGTGTGGGCCCTTGGGACCCGGAGATGTGCGCTGTGCACCACAGCCCGCAAAAGTGTAAACATCCGTCAGAAGTTTCCTGCACTTTCGTTCGTTTCGTGAGATACTCACTGCGCATCAACGCGATGCAAATCCTCCAGGTGCCCGCAAGGTCTTGGGCCATCCTCTGCTGCTGCTGAGCATCATCCTGCACCCCCTGTAATTACACGTTTAAATTGGCAAAACCGCAAATGCCACAGCCAGCTTGTGTGGGGGCTAACTGCAGCGCCTCCAGCATCGTATCAACAGGTCGCCAGTCTTTTAGTAGACAGTAGAGCTCACCAGAGCAGAGACCACTAATTACTGCTTATATGATTATTGTCGGAGTCCTCTCGTCGGTGATTGTAGTCTTGAGTCTAGGGACACATGGTTCCACGAAATTTGATGTATGTCTCAAACTTTTGCAACTCGCAGACACCGAGCTCGGACAAGCGCCTGGCATCTCATAGCAGAATATCCGCTAGAATGAACCTAGATTTCAACCTAAACCCCACTTTAAACTGTTTAGAATCCCTAGTACAGAGGCCCTTGGCAGTCCTGAGAAACGAAGCCCTGGCCCAAAGTCCTAAAATCCTAAACCAGCAACCCCAGGCTTTTAATGTCCCCAAGGCCCCGACGCCCCAAGCAGAGATCCTGTGATTTCGAAGTAGCTTTGGAATCCATGGCATCCATGGAAGATACAGCTGCAGAGCCATCTGTAGAAACTTCCAGCGTGAGGGCCTCCGAAGTGGTTGCGTCAAGGCCGCCCGATGCTTCAGAGGATGCAGGGAGCTCCGCAGGGCTCAGGGGCTCCGAACTGTCAGAAGCAAGCCACGTCGGTCCGGAAGCAGCAGACTCAGCAGACATGCTGCCAGCTTCTGCAGCAGCTGACGGGACTGTTGGGTCGGCGGAGTCGGCTTCAAGGGAGGATTCTGGCAGGGAGTCGGATTCAGATTCAGATTCACATATTTCAGCAGGAGCTCACGAACCAGACAGGGCTGCTGGGACTGCCCCTCCGCCAATTCCAGCGGTGATGAGAGAACTGGAGGACCATGGCTGGATTGGAAAAGTGGTGAATGTGCATTACCACACCCATCAGAACTTTCATCGTCATAAGCATCCTTGTCCGCCGCCTGCAATCAAGAAGGTCTTCAAGTCCAAGTTCCTGGTCCATCATCACAGTCATCATTACCATTACCATCATCATGTCCGGGGCCGCTTCGACAGGAATCTCAATGCAAACAGCAATCCGCCGGCCACGATCGACTTGACTGCTTCGGATGGTCATGAAGAGAACGACGGAGAAGGTCATAAGGACGAGGACATGTGACACATGTGATGGCAAAAATGAAGATCTGGACTCTGGATGCTCGGATGTTTGCAGTTCATGGTGCACAGTACGTTTTGGAGTTTTGGGTTGGTGGCATGGTAGTGACTGGTAGTGTTTTTGTTTGCCTACCGCCTTCGAACTCATCGAACATCAAGAATAATGAAGATTGGATACAATGTTATACTGTTATACAAAGACTACTACAAAGTAAGAAGTTTGTAGATTTTCTTTTGGTCCTAGCAAGTGAATAGGCTGGTTGTAAAGATGAAAGCGACATGAGGCCTGAAATGAAGTTCAGACTTCAGAGTCGAACCCAAGATCCAAGTCAGGGTGTATGTCGTGTACATCTATGCCAAGCCTGCCAAGCCCCAAGACCCTAAAACAGAAACCAACCCAAGACTTCAGCGCTCAAGCCTTAGATCCCAGGCTCTGCACCTTACTGAAGCCCCGAAAGCTCTGGACATTATGAGGGCTCATCGGGAAGGATGTCGTTGTTGCGGGAGCCCAGCTGAAGCGTGAAGCCCAAATCCCGGCCACCCCACAGGTCTGTAGTGCTGAAGACCCTTTCGGCAAGGAAGGTTGACTGCGGTTGACTTGCATTCGCATGTGCAGTGCAGTTGCCTATGTGTTGGCCAGCTCCAGAGTCACAGCATAGAGCTCATGTGAGGCATACATTATACATTGTACATTCATTGTTTTTAGATTTTAGACTGAGACTCAACATGACTCAGACTCAGAAGACATGTGCAAGCAAGGGTTATACACAGACGTGTGTGTAACCGCAATGTTTAATTCTAGTGGCCTCAGAGTCCGCAGCGTCTTGAACTTTGCACCTTGGCTGCTTGGCCTTGAGCCTTAAACTTGAACCTTCAACTTTGAATTCTTTGTATGTTGACTTTGAACTTTGAACTAGTTCTTTAGAGAAGCCAAGCCAAGCGAAGCAGTTCTTTAGTTTTCGAGCTGTAGCCGCAGAAGTCGGAGATGGTTAGGCGGAGATGGCACTGCCAGGAAACGTTTTGTAACTTCGTAGCCCAATCAGCAAAAGCAATGATTGGGCAGGTGTGACACCGGCGTGCAATTGTTCCAATGATTGCAATGCTGCCGAGCAAGTGATTCCGTCTTTCTGGGATTGGCGTGTCTTTCCTAATGTTTGCCTGTGCTTCTGCAGATGGAAGCATCGGCATGCAGTGTCTTTAGTCTTTTGCTGGCTGGTAGCCCAACCAGCGCGGTCACGGTATGCCAGGCATGACAAAGACACAAGCAAGGTCAAGGAGCCAAGTATTCCTGTCTCAGGCATCTACACAAAGCAGGTGATCCAGGGATTGCAAAGTCTTTCTACAAGCTTGCCTCTACTTTCAGAGATCCCGGCAGTATCATCCATGCCCGTGCCCAAGCCAGACAGAAAACATGAGGATGAGGCAGTCGCCTGGAGCCATGCGCTTGAGCAACTTGCCCTTCATGTAGTCGGCTGCTGTTGGTTCTCCCCTTTGTTCATCGAAGAGGTTTCTTCGATTCTGTCAGATGCAGGCGAGCAGGTCCGGGATTTTTGGACTTTGACAAAATATCATGCCCAGCCTTTTTTGCATTGCAAGGCTTCAGATGCACATGTACTTCCAGGTGCAGTGGCTAGTCATATTCGGGTTCAGAGCAAGGGGGCTAGTGCTGACAGCAAGTGGTTCTATGAGCTGAGCGAAGCTACACATGAGCACCTGCAGCTCATTGCAAAAGATCTTTTAAAAGGTCAAGCCACTACCAGGCTGTGCTTGAAAATCCCAGCTCCACATGCTTTGTTTGTTGCTGCTGGCTTTTGGCCTGAGTACTGCTTGCCTCTGGTTGGCAAGGGGCAAAACAGAAGTTTCTCAGCAGGTGCCGCACTGTTGAAAGCACTGCCCCTGCCTGCTGTGCGACAGGAACTGCCAGGACCAGATGGCGACAATGCCCCGAGCATGCTTGACCCAGTGTATTTGAGGCAACTGACCAGGACTCTTCGAAAGCTCCTCTCCAAACGAAGGCAGATCTCAGATCAAGACCTCGCAGCAGCAAGTCTTGATATTGAGATGTTGCTGGGCTTGAGGGAA